ATGAGGACCTTCATGTAAAATATCCCCGACTGCTCACCTTTGCCTCACAGCTGAAGGCAGGAAAGGGTCTGACCATTGTGGGCTCTGTCATCCAGGGCAACTTCCTGGACAGCTTTGGGGAAATGCAGGCAGCTGAGCAGGTAAACACCAGAAAGAGAGGCATCACGTACCGCGGCCTATTGTTCTCTATTGTGCTGTGCTGCTGACTGAGCTGCCGCTGATTGTTAAAAATGAACAGCCTTTGCCATTTGAAAAACACAATGAAGGATAGAGCTGCTCCTGTGTGAGTTGTAAATTTATGTCACATTTCTTCCGCAGCAGTTGCCTTATTTTATTTATTTAGTTATTTATTGTGCATTTGTCACGTTAATCAAAAGGCACAGCTGCAAACAGCTTGCTGTTAGCAGTACAACATGGTGCCAATGAGCCATTTCAGACTAAATAAGGGACGGGTGCTGTAAGATTTTTCATTATGTGATGTGTTTGGTGAGGAATTAAACAAGTGATGCAAGGTTTCTCTTGTTTATGTGGCACCAACTGGAGAAATTAATCACTCATCCTCTACTTACTTTAGCCAGTTCATATATTATGTATCAGGCCAGGACTTATCAGTAGAGCTTTTGCTCTCTAGGTAAGTATTGATGGTTATTAACCTAATTGTAGCTGCAACGTATGGCCTGAAGTCAAGGCATGCACTATTGTTAGTTTTTTTTATATATAAAAAGCATGATGTATCCATCCATTTGTACTTGGTTTACCTATTTATTATTTATTGTGATTGCATTTGCCCACATTTTTCCTTCCAGGCTATCAAGAACATGATGGAGATCGAGCGGGTCAAAGGTTTCTGCCAGGTCGTGGTGGCATCTAAGTTGCGAGACGGCATCGTCCATCTGATCCAGTCCTGTGGTCTGGGGGGCATGAAACACAACACTGTGGTGATGGGCTGGCCGTATGGCTGGAGACAGAGTGAGGACCCTCGAGCCTGGAAGACTTTTATCAGTAAGAGTCTCACCTAAACACCGATCACAAAACAGGACACACAGCCTGCTCAGCACACTGCTGTATCCCTATTGATGGCTGCTATCCTAAATTATGTTCATGCCTGAAAGCTACACAAACACATCATTACGGCAGAGCTAAGAGCTCATGTGAATATACAATTTAAATGTTCAGATGCATTCCAGATTGGTTTTCAAGTGACTTGTGTGAGAAATGTATGCACTCAGATACCCATCTGACTGCATTAGCTCAGGTGCAGGAGGGCTAATATATGTAATATATGTAAATTCCTTCGCCTGCATGTTTTCATCACTACCCAGACACAGTCCGCTGCACCACAGCTGCCCACCTGGCCCTGATGGTGCCCAAAAATGTGTCATTCTATCCAAGCAACCATGAACGCTTCACAGATGGCAACATTGACGTGTGGTGGATTGTCCATGATGGGGGGATGCTAATGCTGCTGCCTTTCTTGCTCAAACAACATAAGGTGAGCTGACAGAGCTTAGTGCAGATATTTCAGATTTGTGTTTACCACATTTTTTTTTTTTTTTCTAAAGTTGGAGGTTTACTTTCTGTTGCATGGATGCAGATGTGTTCGGCCACATTTAACATTTTCATAATAAAACATACTCAATTTTGGGGCGCCCCTATAGCTCACCTGGTTGAGCAGAAAACCCATGAACAGGGGCTATAGTTCCCTGGTGCGACGTTCGTGAGTTCGAATCCCACTCACAACAGTTTGCAAGGTCTCTCCCCATTCTTCTCCCCCCTTTCCTGTCTCACTCTCTCACTGTCCTGATTAATAAAGGCAAAAACGCCAGAAAAATAATTCAAAAAAGAAACATACTCAATTTAAATAATTCACATCTTTCCTTTAGTACTTTTAGTTTATTGCTTTTTTGGTGAATTTCTCTTTGAACAGCATCGCTCTTCACTGATTTCATTTTAAAGTATGCACTTTGCTTGTGACTGTATACACATTCATTTAATATTAAATTCAGTATCCCACTTGAAATGTCAAAAGCCTTCCTTTTTTTTGCTTATAGGTTTGGAGGAAATGCAAGATGCGCATCTTCACTGTAGCCCAGATGGATGACAACAGCATCCAGATGAAGAAAGATCTCGCAACGTTTCTGTATCAGCTGAGAATAGAGGCTGAGGTGGAGGTGGTGGAGATGGTGAGAGTGAAGAGCAGTTTTATGGCTACCATAAACAAACTGTGAATCAGTTTGACCCAGTGATAAAGATTGCAAGTCCGTTGTCCACAAACCTGTATTTTCAGTTAATTTAAATTAGAGGTTTTTTTTTGGATTTTTTTTAAACTGCGGCTGTAAACGTATTACTGGACATGAATTAATGCCTACATTGCCACACCATCCAGACAAAATACCTTTCATTTGGATTAACCACTAACATTATGTTCCTCATGTTGGATTTCAGCATGACAGTGACATCTCAGCATACACATATGAGCGAACGCTAATGATGGAGCAGAGATCCCAGATGTTGAGGCAAATGAGGCTTTCCAGTGCAGAAAGGCAAAGAGAGGTATGTTGGTGTTGGATTTAATCACTTAGACTAAACAGAATATTATTATTTAAACACAATATATTCCAACCAAACCTGACAACATTCTCGTGGAACCTGCAGGCCCAGCTGGTTAAGGACCGACACTCACTGGTGCGTATGGGCAGCTTGTACTCAGACGAGGAGGAGGAAGTGGTGGAAGCTCCTCCAGAGAAGGTTCAGATGACGTGGACCAGAGAGAAGTGTGAAGCAGAGAGGAGGAACAGGAACAACGCTCCTGAGAACTTCAGAGAACTCATGAGCCTCAAACCGTGAGTCAGATTCAGTTACCTTCAGCTTTTTCTTTACCCTAAAAAAAAAGTTTTATTGGGAAAATCCATTCAACCTCACTTACCCCTTGTTATTTTGTACCTTCTTCCAAACAAGTTTCTCTATATAACACAAATCAATCTTGCTGCAGGGATCAGTCCAACGTGCGGCGGATGCACACAGCTGTGAAGCTGAACGAGGTCATAGTCAACAGGTCCCACGATGCTCGATTAGTGCTGCTCAACATGCCAGGACCCCCTCGGAACACAGACGGAGATGAGAACTGTATCCTTTACCATGACCAGCAAGAAGGGTTTTGTGCTTTTTTTTGTTTGTTTGTTTCACCTCCTTAACGTTTACCTCAGATATGGAGTTTCTGGAGGTGTTGACTGAAGGTTTGGAAAGAGTGCTGCTGGTGAGAGGCGGAGGGCGAGAGGTCATCACTATCTACTCATGACCAGTTAGGAGGTGCTGCGAAGGGGTTTGGACCTCAACAGAACACATTCCACCGCCGGGCAGAAGGCAGCACCCGCTTTGCTTCCAGACAGTTCTGGGTAGATGCATCAATTTGACACTTTTTGTATGGACTTTTGATTACAAAAGAGGTTCATTCTATTCTTGTAGAATATTGGGACACACTAGTGTGCATATCTACCTGTCTGTTCATTCTTTACAAATGGAAGCTGTTACTGATCTCCCGTACAAACTTTAGGTAAACTTATCTATACGTCACGAATGCACCTTTTTGTGAAATATGTGATAATAAACCTATGTTTGATGTTTGGCAGACAGAATTATCCTGAGTAGTGCACACTTTGTTAGAACAGTTTTTTGAAAAAAAGGCAGATTTTTTTATTCGGAAACGGCTCTTTGATTATTTCGGAGGCACACTTCTATTTATTTATTTATTTTCTCAACCTTTCTCTCCCCACTGAGGTTAAAGGACGTGGCTCTGCAGGTAATGAGTGCAGCGCTTGATGCTGGGTGTACTGTATAGATGGCACCAGGATACAGATTGTATTAGTTCTAATTTATATATATTTTAATTTTTTTTTTTTTGGAAAGATACTCGTGTTGTTGATAAGAAAAAAAAACAAAAAATGCATGAATGACATTTAAACTGCTACATTTGTACTTTACCTGAAATGCCTCTCTGCTTACAAAAACAATGCTTTAATTTAAAGTTATAATCCTTAAAGTTCCCAATCAAATTTTTTAAAATGTTGTTCTGTAAACAGATTCGGCACATGCTATCCTGTTGTATTTCTGACAAAGCAGCGTCTCAGTGAGTGCTGACTGTATTACTGAACCACACTTGATGCTCCAACAGTTTGTCACCAAATCAACCAGGACTGGAAGCATGCGAGGATTACAGCTTTTAAATTATTTTGATCTCAGCTACAGACCTCTTAAAGACCCTGTTTGTGTCTTTTCAGGGTTTCTGCTAATAAACTGAGTTTGATGCGTATTTCAGGCAAACATACACTGTCGGGAGCTGCTGTCCTTTCATGTTGACTAATGATCTGTACAAGACTGTTTTATATGTAAGGGTGAGAGAGTGTCACTGAAAACTACAATTTTAGACCAGCATACTCTAAGTTGGAGTGCACTGTCCCAAGTTGCCAAGAATCCAAATACACCTTTTTGCTCATTAAACTTTTGGCACAACATGTTCTCAAAACAGAAACTTTATGTTGACAACACTTTACTGAAGCTATGAGTATTGATTTTTGAAGAGCAGAACAATGTCACCCTTGTATGGTTACGCAAAGAGGAACATAGCCACTACAAGTGAGCTAACCAGAGCGAATTTCTATGAACTTTGTTGGCACAGAGTACTGAATCTTAACAAGGCAGATTTCACGCTGCTGCTTTGAGTTACTGCTGTTCTACGTTCATGATTTGGCTTCAGTTGTGTCTACATGCAAATATTGGAATGATAAACAGGAAGGGCAGCTGTCTGCTCACATTACAATGCACACAAACTTGTGTAAACATTTCCTATTACACTGTAAGATCAAATAAAAAAGAGAATCTGTTTTTAAACTGGACCCGTCTGCACTGTTTCGTTGAAGTGCTTCATGCAATGCAACACCGTGTGTTCAATTAAAGCTGATCAGCAGTAAATAGAAAATCATTTAGAAATAAAAAAAAAAAACTTACAGTGCAATCTCTGCAGTTTTATTTATCAGCATTATCATCCTCCTTCATGTTTTTCACAGAGATCAAGTCAAACATGGTGCAACATATTCAGCAGTAAAATAAATACTGAATAAATTAATTCCAAAATAAATTGTACAGGGCCTTACAGAAGAGTTATCATTTGTGTATTTATTGTATTTACAGGAGTTGGTATTTAAATTACTGCAAAAACGGGGCTAAACATAGAAGTTTTACTGTACTGCAAGAAAGTGATTAATCCCCCCCTAATCTTTACTGACATGTGATGACCCACAAATGGCTACAGCAGACTCATTAAGCTCTTCTTTCTTTATGTGGAAAATGAGGCACTTTAAAGAAGACGGTGCAGCTGAACTGAAATGTTCACTCAGTCACAAATAGGCTGGCAAGCAGCAGAACCGGGACCAGGATTAGCAGACCTGGTGATCCATGTTCTGCCCCGGAGGAGGTGTTCTGGTCGGAGCGCAGCCCTGTGGAGCCAGGAGGTCTGAGAACCAGCCTGCAGGGGTTTTGCACTTCCTCTAAGGGGATCTGGACCTCACTGGGCCGTTTGGAACTCAACTGGTCGCGGACCTGTGGGGAAACACAGGACAACGAGAGAGGGAGACAATGGATAAAAGGGGTTTATTTTTTGATTCAAATTTTCTTTATTGATTTTGCACAGAACCAAACAGAGTCACAGCCAATGTTACTGACACTCGTAATAAACAGCAGCTCCGTCATGAAACAATATTCAAAACTCTCAGACCCACCCGATACTATTCCCACCCTCCCTGAGTTTGTCTTTTGGTTATGGTTTTGTCGAGAACATTTTCAAAGCTGGAGTGGAAATAAAGCATTTTATGTGTATTATACGTCAATTATCATTCCAGTCAGTCATGCAGGGTTGTTTAAATTGCGGAAGAATTTAAAAATATTATTTTGTCAAAAGAGATTTAAAAATAGCCACATATTCTTGAACATTCTACAATCAAATAAAGTGATTAGAAACCATCAAGTGTCTTGATTTTTTTTATTTGTTAACCTGCTGATTATAGTGATGTTTTTATTGTTTGTAGTTCTTGTTGTTTTGTTTCAGATGTGTTCACTACCTAACCCTATTTTTTTCCTGCCTGTGTGATTAAATGCACCGCACTAACTGGTTCGACCTATGCCCTCTTACCCTACTTTCATTGAGTATTTATTGGCCCAATCCCATCTCCTCCATGAGGGCTGAAGCATTAAATCCTCGTAGATGTAACTGAGGTCGTAGCTGCGATGCTTGAGCGTGTATGTTCATGTTTAAAATGGTAAAAAAAATTGAGAAATTGGACACTATTGTGACAGCACATGTTGCATGAAAACAATGCATTGTCATTAAAAACAAAAAAAAGAAGGAAAATTGTGTTTTATTTACATTTTAATTAACTGCTCAGTTGATTACTCTCTGTGTGTGGCACTACAGTGTTTATGCACTTAAGGAAACTATCAAAATTCAGGAAAGCCAGGAACATCTGCCAATCCTATGTGGACAAACATACACATACAAACAACACTGCAGACGTGAAACAGCCACGGCAACAGCAAGCAGCTTGATGCTGTTACTTACAGATAAACTTCCTAAGGGATTTCTTCCCTGCACCGTTTATAATTGGCTTGTGTACATTTTGTGTGAGGCAGGAAAACCGTGTTTATATGTCACCGATTTCACTATGAACGATGAGCAAGTCCCGTCGGAAAATCTGCAGATATGCAGACTCACAGACAGGGTGCAGAACAGCATAGAAGAGTCGGCATCAGAGCCCTCATGCAGTTGACGATTTTGCAGTGGGACGGCGCTAAACCCTCACGCCTAAAGACAGTGAGTCTGTGAGTATAGAGATTGGGATTGGGCCAGTCTCTGTGCTCCTTTCTTTATGTGCCAGGTCCTACTGTTCTTAAGTTTGATTTTCCATGCTTGGCTGTTGAGTTGTACATTTGAGTCTGTTGGTAACAATGTGAGATGTTGTAAACATTGTAAAAATGTTGTCAAATATTTGACACATTTTAGTGGAATTATAAATACTTGAGGCGTGTTCTACCAAATATATGGTCCATTGTTACAGCAGAATTACCCATTTGGCCAAAAATTAAGCAAAAATAGGTCCGCCTACCTTCCATTTATCAGGGAAGGCTGAAAAATAATTTTTTTCTCTGGCTCACCTTCTCGACGTCTTCAAACACTCGTTGGAAGTTCCTTCGGAGGACATTAGCCAACTCATCCTCAGTCCACTTTCTTTGCAGCAGTTCCTGGATCAGAGCGGGATACTTTGACACATCCTCTAAGCCCTTTGGAAAGCTGTTCATAGAAACAAAACAATTTCATGCACAGATTAATCATGTATTTGTTGTATCTATGAAATATACATGTTTTAAATAAATCACTTATTCTGACATGCACGCACACAGAGATGCATCTTTACAATTACAACAATAAAACCTTGAGGCCCCTCAGCATTGTTTGTTTTACGGTGTTATGTATGCATAGCATGAGCAATTCACTGCCATCCATAGCAGCCTCCTTTTATGGCTGCTAGCAGGATAAAGTTATTGATTTTTACCGTTTTTCAGTCTGTTGACAACTGGACAGCCAAATTGCTGATATCATGACAAGCAAACAAAAGCGCAAAATTGATCTGGTTCAACAACAGCCTTTTGAAATATGTTGTCTGGAGACTTCTTGAGACAAGTGTGTACCGTTTCCTGGCATGAGCTTTGTTTGGTCTCCAAAGATTCCCACTTATCCAGACCACAGGATATGAGAACTGATGCATTTACGCTTTTATGTTTGCACGCAGTTCATACAATTCCCTATGAAATGGTGCTTCCAGTTATCTGTGTGTTGTTGTTTGTAGGCGAATGTGTCTTACCTCACAGCACCTTCAAAGTCCCCTCCGACTCCTATGGATTCAGCTCCAACCACCTTCTTAATGTGATCAAAATGGTCTGTAAAAGACAGTTAGAGTAATAAATGGTTGGTGGTAGATTGGATTGGAGGGACGCTCTGCTGTGGGTTGGCTGTGACATTGTTCGGTAACTGCTAAGGAACCAGTCACATTTGGTTGAAGTTTAAAAGCAGGCTGAAGCAAAACAGCTGTTCCTCTCAGAGCATTTTGGATTTTTTTGGAACTCAACTAACCTAAATTGCTTCCTCCAAGAATATCGGGGAAGGCTGGGAATTGAACCTTCAACCCTGTGATTAGCGGATGAACCCAACACCTGAACCACAGCCAGCAAGGTACTAATCTGGTCTGTTCTGCCTATTTATGGTTATCTCTGTCAACAGTTGCCTAACAACATTAACAGCCAATCACAGCATAGTACACCGTCCCTCCAACTGACCCAATCCAGCACCAATCATAATAAATCAGGTATATGAAGCACAACTCTGGATTTTATTACAAAATGCCTCACCAGCCACCCGAGAGATGTTGGCCTCATCTTTGCAGGAAATGAATTTGCTGTGGAGATTCACCATGATCAACCCGTTGTTCTTTTTCTGAAACACAACACACACGGTGTCACAAGATATACACACAGAAAAACATGACTGACGAAAATAAATATTCTATGTAAGAGACACACTTAAAATACAAGTTTTTGTCTCATTTAGATTCATTACTTGTCATCGTTAGAAGTAGAAAACATCGCACTTATGGGACGGTGTTTTGCAGCTCATTCACAGTGACGACATGAGAAATATGAGCGATCATCATGAGGGATTTGATGGGTCGGAGTTGGGTTTAGTACGAGAAATACAAATTATTGATATTTAGCTAGTGTAACACTATGATTGAACATGTTGTAGATATTGTACATGCCTCATTTACATGTACAAGAACATCTAAACTCAGTGGATCTCGTTATGTGGATATACGTCAACTTGGCAAGCAGGGTTTTAAGACTTCTTCAGCACTTGGTACCTCCCTAATGACTGTTTCCAATTTTATTCTGGAACATTTAGAATGATGTACAGTTTACTGAGCGTGGGTTTCCATTGGAGAGAAAACAGTGTTCTACTCATGCCAGTAGAATAATTTAATTTTAATATTACTTATTACAGTCATACAAATATTTACAAAGTGGGACAAGATGCAGTTCTATCTCTCACTATATGTTACTGGTAGTTGTGTTTAATCCAAGATGAACTCCATCAAAACCTTGTAATGCGGAATGTGGACTAAAATTTGGGTAGAAATGAAGAAATTAGCGACAAATAAATACGCCCAACTAAAGCTAAACAAGGACACAGACGAGTTCAAGGGGTATTAGATCGTATTTGGCAGACACAAAGCTTCAGAAAGAGTCAAACAATGCATTTGGGTTTGACTGCTTGACCGTTCACCTTTTGATAACCAAAACAGAACCGTTTAGTGAAAGTCTCATGCACAGGAACCAAACTAAGAATGTGGGGAAATACACTTCAACGCTTTGGCAAATGGAATTATTGCAATGTCTTATTCTAAATGTTTACATCATGCTGGAGGAAAAGCACTTATGGTTTGTGGTTTCTACTGTGGGGTCACTGAGCAGCTCCTTCAGCAGCAGACTGATGCACCAGCAGGGTAAGAAGGAGCACGACCGCAGGTCTTTCATTCCAACTGCTGTCAGTAATCTATAACAACATGTTGTAGTTCTTACCTCCATACTGCATCTTTGCATAGGAAACAATATTACACCCAGCTTTCTCACGTGCAGTATACCCCATGCTATGTGCAGCATATCTACCTCATATACAATGTCATACTATATGATATTTCCTTTCATTTGTCTATTTTATTTTAAATCATAGTTTCCATTACATAGATCTGCAGCTTTATTGTATTATATTTCTCAGCTCTTCCTATATATAGTTTTAGTTTGTTCTCTTTTCCCTCCTGTTACATTTTTGTGCTCTTTTCCTGTATCTGTACTGCTGCAACAGGTGATGAAGAATAAAGTGCAATCTAATTTAATCTTCTACCAGTTGATGGGATTGTTTTGTTTTGAAACCTAGAAATGCTCCTTTGTGTCAGTATCATCTTGAGAGATTGAAGAAGAAAGTAATTGGAAGGAAACATGCCTCCTGGAATTATGTAGAAGATGGAGCAATAACAAGTCATCAATGAGACGTTAATTGGACTTCTTGCACCCACAAATACACCCATTGGATTCAAAATCAACTATCCTGTGTGCTGAAATGTAAAAAACAAAACAAAATCCTAACAGTGGACTGTTTGGGAATATTTGATTCTACTGATACAGAGTGAAAGGCTAAACAGACTAAAAATAATGTTTAAAAAACATATTGTAACTTCTATTTTGAGAGGTTTGTATAAACAAAGATTGGAACCAAAATTAATTAATCATTAAACCTGATTGATCAGATAATTATTTAATCGCACAACTAAGCAGGCCATTAATCACTCGGCGAATTGTTTTTCTCACCAGCTCGTGCAGCAGCCAATCAGGTACGTTGCGGCTGTGGTTGCAGATAGAGTAGGAGGATGAATGGCTAAAAATAACCGAGGCCTTGGAATGCTTCAGCACGGCCAAGGCTGTGTCCCAAGAAGTGTGGGAGAGGTCCACTATCATCCCCAGTCTGTTCATCTCGTCCACCACGGCCTCAAAAACAAATCACAAAACATTTAAGCGGTAATTTACGGGAACACGGGAAGGAAGTAAATCAGCTGAGAAGACAACAGGAGACAGTTACATGTGCACATATAAACACACTCGAGCAGATAGCAGTCAAGGAAGTCCTGTAATCTGCTGTCGACAGAACCGACTGAATAGGTAAAGCATTGCAGAGATATTAAAGGTTTTAATACAAAATGCGTACAGTGTACACCAGCAGTGTGTTTTATTGCAAGTTTACTTTTATTTCTCCTGCCAAAAGCATGTTTACACTGTGTGCACAATTATTAGGCAAGCTGTGTTCGTCAATTAATGTTATTGTTGAACAAACGCAATCCTCTCAGTTAATCCGAAAAGTAACCGAATCTCAAACCTGAATACTGAACAAAGGAAATGTGACTGTCGTCTTTCTCTGAGGGCATATTACACGAGTGTGCATAATAATTACAAAAATAATGTTCCCAACATCCGTGTGTATTCTCAACGTTAGGAGTAAGCGTGACAAAAACAGTGACACAAAGTGACAATTAAATAACAATTTTGGCCTTTCAAAACCATTCAGTGATCAATATAACCACCCTCCTTTTCAGTAGCTGCCACAGCCTGGAGTCTGTCAGTGTCCTGATCTGTTCACCATGACCTTTCCCTGAAGCAGCAAACACAGCCTCTCAAATGCTGTCCAAAGAGATGTATTGGCTCTCATCACTGTAAATCTTTCATTTGAGGAGAGCCCACACGCCCTTAATAGGATTTATGTCCGGTTAAGAAGAGCCAGGTCATTATTCGGTCATGTTTGAGGCCTTTGCTGGCGAGCCGAGCAGCGGACCCCACGTATCCGTATCCCTTACGCCCCTCCTTTCTGACCCTTACTAAACTGCTTCTCATCCATTATGATGTTGTCTCTCTTAGTCAAAATCAAACAGACAATACAGTTTACACGTTTTGTGCACAAAAATACTGATGAAGTCGGAATACTTACTTGCCTAACAACTGTGCAAAGAGTGTAGCATGCATAGCATTAACCAACTTGAACAAAAGCGAGGTTCATATTCTTTACAGCGTCTCAGATAACAATAACTTCTCTAACTACTTCCATTAATACAGTAATATTAACGGTAATAGTAAAAATGCACTTTTCTTTTGCTTGCTGAACAAAAATTAACAAAGATGAAGCAGCTCTAAAATATTGTGACTGTCTACTTATGTATCTGTAGCTACATCCAGTACTTTTAATTCTATTTTTAAAAATACACTGGAAATGTTATGTTGACATATCTTCCAAAAAATAAGAAAAACATCTTGCTGAGATACTGCTTTGAGGAATGCAAAAATAGAAAAAACATGAAGAAACATGACTGATATCACTGAACTCATATGAGCTTACCTTTCCAAACTCTGTCAGGCTGTTGTTCTGTCTTTGAAAGACATTGTAAAGTTTTGAGGATGACTCAGCCCTGCATTGATAAAGAAAATTGTTAATGCCGTAAATCATGAGAGTAATTTGTATCTCGTTTGTTTAATTTGTATGTGGTTAGAGCTCAAGTGTCTTTCATCTGGCAAACTCAGCTACGTGCAGAGACAAACACAAGTTAATTTGCATAAAAGAAAAAAAAAAACATGCAGATATCAAATATGTAAACATTTTTGACCTTTCCATTCCCTCATTCCGGTAAGCAAAGATTTTTCAGATTAAATGCGGCTCAGTGGTTCATTCTTTAATGGAGCTCTCTGGCATTCATACTTGGCTTTACAGCTTAGATAGCAAAGACCCAGCAGACCCATGTGCAGGTAAAATAAAGAGTTCAACATGCTTCTGCTATTACCAGGGTGTATTGCAGGTGTGTGTCAGGGCCATGGAGCGGACACCGAGCTGGTACAACATCCTCAGGGTTGGAATGCTGCTGTCAATAGAGTGGCCTCCCTCGACGCTTATCAGACATGCGATCTTACGCCTCATCTCAGCGTTCTTCAGCTCTGCAAAGACGAACACAAATGCACAACGCCTACACACATTACTGGGCACCAATGCTGTCAATGAAACCAATAGCTGGTAGCTGTGTTGATGCTGCTTTGACATTAAAGCCCAGTTCAGACATGTGCACCTCGAAACATGCCGGCTTTGTGTTTGAATGAGCCTCCTGGTCACAGTTTCGTAGAAGTCATATTTTTACTAGCTTGTGCCTAACTAACATCTGCCAATCGCTTTCAACATGGCACCAGTCTGAACTGCATGCCATTAACAGACAAGCATGCACAAGCAATGAAGTTGTGTGAAGTTATTTGGGGTAGGATTTTTTTTCATAGTTCAACATCAATATTGGTCCAAAACCACACAAAGCAAAAGACAGTTTGCTTGCCAAAATAATAATCATGAAAAAATCAACTTTTCTCTGCAGTTTCATATTTATTGCAAGTAAAACATTCATAAAAACTGCAGTGAAGTCCATAACAAGTCAGATAAATGAGACTCAATCTTAAACACTTGCACCATCAATCTAAACAGCACCATATGAGCAAGAGAGTTGAGCGCATGTACGCGGGAGCCGAAGTTCAGCGGTAACTTCATTAATTACTTCTAATTATAAATTATGCCCAACATGGAGACAAGATCAGTCAGGATTTAACAGCAGGTCACACGGTGCGGGTTTCTTCACATCAGACAGGTGAGCTGTCACACAGAGTCACAGTTTAGAAGCTGCACTTAAATCATTTGTTTCACAGCAGCCGTCCTCAGGTTGAGTCCTGAGCTCCATCACAGCTGTCAGGATATTCTTATTTTAGTCTTCGCAAAGTAGAAGTTAGATTGCCAAGACACATGGACAGAATTTTCAGTGTTTAGGATGGTTTGATAAGCTTGTTATTAGTTTGCATTTACATGTTTATTGATAAGTACTATACACCACGTTATATACATGTTATATACTGTCCAATCTCACTTGTATGACTAGTATTGTACACATACTGTGTCTCCATGTTGTGGGTTTGTCTGAATGAAGCTGAATACCTGCTGATGAAACCACTTTACATACTGGACACTCTACATTTTAACGTCTTTCATTGTATCTGTAAACTTATCTACACCTACTTCCGTCATTTGCTCATCTAAGCACATTATCATTTGCACATTTCTGTATCTCTCTTGTGTATTCTTCTACATTTTGTTGACTTTTCTTTCTATATTATATTTTTTATCTTATTTTATTTTTACTTCATTTTACCATCATTAATACCCCTCCCCTAATATTCTGTGTTGTCTTTTTGCTTTTGTTTGCCCCCTTTGTTGAATATTCATGCTGCTGTAACAACTGAATTTCCCTCTGGGGATTAATAAAGTGAGTCTAAGTCCAACTTTAATGACAGAATGCCATTGCTTTAACACATTAGTGAAGCCCTTGTCATGTGTGAAAAGGGCCTAACTCAAACAAAAGAAAACATTCAGCACACGCCAAATACAAATACAAGATCATCACGAGGGAGGTGTACTATACCCTGGGCAGATGTAACCAGCTCAAAGTCCTGGTACTCAGTGCACATACGTCTGACCACATCTATTTGTTCCAGAGTCAGCCTCACAGCATCCTTCTGCTGGGCCCCACACATCACATAGACCGCAAACATCTGACAAAAGAACAGGGGAGAGAATGGGAGACACATTTTAGTAACTGAGGTTAATGTCATTTCCAAGCTTGATCTTTAGGAAAATGCTGTTTTTCAAAGCCTCTTTGGTTTTAAAATGCCAATGCTTAAAAGGGGAAATCTGCTTTTGCTCGGCTACTCTGGGGAGCAATCTGGACGTTAAAATAGAGCAGTCTCGGGAGTGAACGCTGATTAAATTACAATACCTGCGCCTGCACATGGCCCGCTTGCAGACGGTAGATGTCGGTGGCCACTTTGCTGACATTATGAAGATCAATTTGGCTCAGGCGGTTGTCGTGAAGGATCCTCAGCTGGAGAGCGAGGTCATTATGACTGACAGATGGAGAGTGAGGAGAGCGGGGTGGAAAAGATGGAGAAGCACTTTAATCTGATCTCAACTATTCATATCCATGAATGTAACTTCTGTGTAAGCAGGACAGTAAACATCCTTTACCCATCAATAAGAGGATATCTGGACATCAAATCATGGGCTCTCTCTCTTTCTGAGTATCCAGATATCGAATGGAACACACAGAACAACACCAGAGCCCCAAGAGACTGCATCCAGAAGCTCGATGAAGCACCTTTTATAGTTTTCCTAGAAAGCACAATCTGAGAACAGAAAACACACCAGTGCATTACAGCTACATGATAGCAGAAGAATTAACCAACTGCATGGTTTAGACACACACACACACACACACACACACACACACACACACACACACACACACACACACACATTCTACATACAACACAACAGTATCTTTTATCTTACTGCTTATGCTTATTTTATGTTATGAAAAACAGACTGATGAGATTAAAATCCTAGAGTATTATATTCTCTCTGTTCATCGGAGAGCAGATATAAGTTCTTGCAAAAAAATGTGCTGTGTTGGATCATGTCATGGCATCAAATTATGAAATTGGCTACACATACATTATGACTGATAAATTCATATTCATTCTGAACAGCTTTTATGGATAAAGTGGAGGGTGAAAAGTTCAAGTGAAAAATAAAATAAGATAAAAAATAAAAAAACAATATAGACTCACCATCCCGGTTGTTAAAAAGCAACTTGTTGTCCACAGTGTTGAACAGCTGTATTCAAACTGTACGAACTTTCCAGCTGTCCGCCTCAGACAACAGCAGAACACGCCTATAGAAACACTGTGCCATGTGCTGCGTTCACGTCCCGTCGAGAATTTGACAAACTACATGTATGGGTTGCTACACGCTATTAGTTGACATCGCCCCTTCTTCATTCTCAAAGCTCCAAAGTTTGCTGATGTTTTAGTCAGCGGTACTGACAACGAACATACAAATATCTCATGTGAGTAACACTAAGAGAAAGCAAATATGTAGATGTCACGATTGCCACGAGCATTTTTATTTATCTATTGATTTACTCGTATCGTTTCCATTGGAGTTACGAATTTACGAGAGACATTTAAAAGCCCCGTTGATGAGCGCTGTGGACTCGATGTTGCCATCTGCTGGTGAAAGACCGTAATTGCATCACAGTCGGCTAAAGTAAGTCCTGACTTTTGTTGTTTGCATCAGTGTTGTGCGAGTCAGTGAGCTACACAGTTTGAATCTTGTAAAATTGTTCATTTTATTAAAAGATTTTAGCCTTGTGGACGCTCACTATAAATTACTAGTCAAGTTAATACGCAATTAATATTCACTTCACAAATTTCCAAAAAAAAAATGGCAACCGGAAATAACATCGACTGACGGCGTATGGTGTCGTAAAGTGGAAGAAAAATTAGCAGCGCGCTAATATACACTATAAAAGTATAACCGAGCAAGTATAGAAATAGACAAACACATTTAACAAAAGTTTTAACTTTGGCGAGGCGTTGACGTTGAAGGGTTTTAGGAATGCAAGTCATCAAAGCAAGGCGCTAACTACTTATTTTGGTGACTGGAATATGTTTTCAATAGACCTATCATAGGCCATGACAGGCTAGTGAGGCAGCACACACAGTAGCCATGGCTACAAACTGAGACTGTGCTTTCAGGCAGCTGCAGGCCAGTACGTGCTCACAGACTTTCAGTGTGTCAACCTCAAGAAAAAAAGTTTTTGAAGCACACAACAACCCTGGGCAGGAACAAACTATCAAGGTACCAGTGTATTTATATTCAGTCGTGATCATATATTGATTATTCTGAGGCTTATGGAATCCTGTCTGCAGCCTGAGCTTCTCATAAACTATCAGACTGTGACAAACAGATCTGCAAACAGTCACTGGCTTTAAGGGGTTTGGTGCAGTATGTGCACAAGTTTGCTGCATGAGTTTAAGCTGTAGCTGGCTAGTTTTTTTTATAAGAGTAGTCCTGGCAAGAGTGGATACACTGGCTGTTGATGTGTTTGTGATCATTGCTTTTTTTCTTTTGCCTGGTTTGCTTTGGAGAGATTGAAAGCTTTTGCTGTTTTGTGTGGATAGCATGCGTTATTTCTGTGTGTTGTAATAAATTGTACTGTCTGCAGATTGTTATTTTTGCTTGCTACATACAGTAGATGCCATTCTTGGTCTGGATCACTTTGGCCACACAGTGTGTTCTTGCTGTGTAACTGGTAGGATAGGGTGTATTTTGTGTGCAGGACATCCTAATTGAACAGGTTTTGTTTTTTTTATATGACTTTATCTGCTGACATATACCACCATTCCAAATACATGAAATGCATCTGTAAAATTTTGATATGTGGTAGGTTTTGAGATTAAATTCATTCAGGCGTCTCTCCACTGGAGCAATGCGTGGTCAGATAGCTGCTTTTTCTTGACAAAAAAAAGCGTTCCCGAAGATGCATCCGAAAGATTTATCTGTTACTGTGACCTGCAGCTTACATGGCAATTTGGCCCGAGTGCCAAGGTCCATATCACAGATTACAACCTCTGCTTTTACATGCTTTCTAACCTGAAATGTGCTTCTGCTTAATGAATCGTGCGCGAATTGTGCAAATGTGAATGAGTCTGGTGTTGATGGGGAGCATCAGGGCGCCACAAATGAATTTCAATTAATTTCAGTGGGAAGATGTGAAGCCTGATTCTGTGGTCCACCCACTGAGAATTGGCCTTGTAGTCCGTAATGAGGAGAGTGATTCAGCTCTGATTGGAGCACCCTACTGCTTCAATGGAGTAATCACAACTGTGTTGATATTTCTCTACCAATCCTCCCACTGCGCAGAGTGGACCCCCAGCTGGCACTGTTTGAATTCAAATTAACCAAATCATTTAGTCATATTGTCGACCTTGGTGTGGAATGTGACTGGCAGTACAAGAGATGAAAATCCCTCACGTTTAACTGAGTCCTCACAGTTTGATGAGGGAGCTTACACCAAATTATTATTATTAGCAGAGCTGACTGCTGTATTTTGTTAAATTAATGCAGTGGAAAGTATGGGTTTGGTCACTATCAAGTAAACCATTACAGAAAATTGATTTTCTAAATAAAGATATTTTTCTTCTTTCCTAAAACGGTGCAGAAGTAACTTCACAAGAAAATGAAACGACTAACACAATTGGGAATTGCCACTGGTGTCAAGTGTTTTCAATTTATTTTTCTTAGCCATAAATTTACATGGTATACATTTAGTAATAATTTCTTGAAGTTCAAAATTGCATGTCAGAAACAACATTGTAATCGGATTTAAGAAGTCATGTGAGAGGGTAATCATTCTTTTAATTTTAGATGTTGAGGTAATAAAAATGTATATAGCAATTTACTGAAAATGACTTATTGTAGCATCATCCATGTAGTGATCCTAAATGCTGTCTTTGTTAAGCTGCAGCATGTTAGATTACTTTATTAATCCCGAAGTTCCGGTACAGCAGCTACTCACCATTGACTCCAATAGTCACTCAATATACACTATACATAGTACGATTCTGAAATGTGAGAGAAATCAGTGGCAGCCCAAGTGTCAAAAAACACTACAAGTAATTAAAGAAAAAGTAGCACAACATACTGATATTTTCAACCAAAATATTGGATGAGAAAGCAGTCAAGGTTGATAGGCAAATTGAATGATTCAATTCAATTACAGTCAAACTATTTGTGAAGAAAAAGTATTCTAAGCATGTAACCAAAAACTGTCATTTGAAGTGGCAGTCATGTCTGTAGAGAGATGTAAAGACTTGGTGTTCCTTCAAGGGTAAGATATATACAAAAGCACTGTTCAGCTATATGGTGTAGATCACACTGAATCCCCGCTTTGTTTCCATCAATCAGTGCAATCCAAGTGCGCTGAACATTCGTCTGTGAACACGGCCAGTATTTTAGAGAAGTTCAGTCACCATGGTAATCACAGTAATTTTCCTCCTATTGAACATGTGTAATTGTTTTCACAGTGGAGATCAAAGGGCAAAGGCCTGAAAAGTCAGAGGGCCTTCGCATTTCCAGCTCGCTGTTATACTTTGTTCCAACTTTAACTGGGCATCACTGAGAGAACACAAAACTATTTTTGTTTATGCACAGCACACACAATTTAAAGGTTTGTGTGTTCTTCACTTTTTTTTTCTTTATTTCATAAATATATGTCACGAGGCCTAACCTCTCCTGCTCCTCATCAACACCGTCATCAAGAGTCGACAGTGTTTACTGAGAGCTTTTTATGATATAGGCAACCTTAATACTTTTCATTCTAGCTCTTTATTCTAATTAAGTCTTCTCACTACTACAAGGGTGGGGAAATGATGAAATATTGTCTTTGAGAAAAAGCACATTTCAGAAGGCCAGCCTTGAGATTGCAATTAACTGATCCAAAAAATGCCATGGCCTTCAGCTCCCATGTGCTAAATGCTCTGTTATGTTCTTAAAACATGATTACAGATAATAAGATCACTAAGTAATCATGGTCTGTTCTGTGACTATTTCGCTTTGTTGTGCCAACCCTGTAATAAACAAAGCCATAAATCAGATATATCAATCGCAGCACTCTTGAGGTAGGAGATATTTTTCTGCGGTTGACTTTGAACTTATTTTTCCACTAGAGGGCAGCAACAGTCAGTTGTTTTTTCTTACCTGTCTAAGCCGATTCCTTACTTAAGAAAATGAAATGTCATGTACAGACAGGTGGATGCCTGTTCCTGAATACATAAAGACATTGAAAAATCAATTTGAATAGCTTGGGGAAATCATTAAAGCAAAGGCTACTTTGCTTTGTTTCCTTTTAAAATAATAACAGCACAATGTGACTGCCTCTGACACTTCTATGTTACTAACCACTAAGTCTGTGGTGTTTTTGCAAAAGGCTCTTTATTTAGTGTAAATACAGTGGGCCTACGTTTTCTCTCATAGCTTTTAAAAGAATGCCGAAGACATTTTGGTCCCCAAACTTCTCATTTCTTTTGCCCTGGATTCTGGCAGCCCTGTAGTCAGTGTTCATTATCTGCTCTTACAGCTTTGACTTCAGCACAGCAATTACATCCTCAGCTGCACTGATTAATCCAACATGGAGGCATTTCACAAAATGGTTTTGAAAAGACATTTCCAGACACTTACCAGGGAGTAGCTGTGGCACAGCTTGTTTATGCAGATAGACCACAGCCAGTCAAATGGCAATAAGATGTTTTCAATGGCTGCTTAAGTGTTCTCTTAACCTCTAGTGTACACTGTGCAGGAAACAATAGAGTGTTCGGAACATGATTAATTTAATCTATTTTACCCCTGACATATAATGGAGGTGCCTGATGTCATGTTTGGGTAATGTACGTTTCTCTATTGTTCAACATATTCCCACTATGGCCATTCGTTAATATGTCTTCACTGCTCTCTGCTTAACTGCTTAACCTTCCATTTTCTTCTCGCAATCACATAATCAATCACTGTCCCATTACTTGACAAGGCAGACAAAGAGAGTGTATGAGTGAGAAAAACCTTTTGGCCTGTCTCGACAAGCAAGAGGAATGTCGACTTCAGAGGGCTAACACAGGCAGAAAACATAGGCCCAGTAAATATTCAATTTAAAGGATTCCCAGATAAGGCGAGTTGAAAAATTGAGGCAGCACCCATTCTTCTAGATAAGAGAAGACGGAGCCATCTGGAGGCTGGGAGATAGCGAACTCCCACGCCATCCCAGAGACCTCACTCTCATCTGCTGCAGCGGCAGAGAAGGGAAAAATAGAGTGCCAACACTTTCATTATGTTAACTTCAAAATGAATTTATTCACATTCAGTGCATGTAGTTATTGGCTTTGGTAAACAGAAGGTTACTGCTGTGTCCGCCGTTACAGAAAACTATCATCAGTCAAGTCTTCTCATAATGTTGTCCTTTGTCATTGAAGATTTTATAACTTAATAACTATTTGGTGAGATGTCTGCATGTTTATTCAGTAAAAATAGTGTGTTGTCTGCTTTGCCATTTTGAAGTAGTATTTTTTTACATCACGTTCTTTAACCGTGTTATCCAGTTAGGTGTTGGGTATATCTGTAAACCTGCTTTATTAAGACAAGAAGAACAGCTGTATTCTTTTATTTAAACAGCCCGACGTATATACTCAGATTTTGTAGGGAACAACCATAAAGAAACATCACAAGTCTCATAGATTTGTGCCTGTACAATCCATGTCTGATCATGTGATCATAACAGTATTTAATACATCCATCCTCTTCATCTATTTCAAGATTGAAAATATCTGTAATTTCACTCGTGGTGAAAACAGCCTTTTGTTTTCCTGGAGCTACTCTGTTCCCACTCAGTTTAAATGTACTGAGTGTGTGTAAGTGCAGTGCTAACTAAACACAAACAGTACATTTTAGGCCTGGGCCTGCGCCTCCTTTAAATGCACATTGAAGGCATCTTTGAAAACAAACATGACTAGCAAGCAGACTTTCAGCTTGTGAATAACCTTGTCCACATTCTCATATTGTACTTTGTTGACTCCTCCACCATGCTATTTCGTGCCAGCCACATTGGATTTAGCTCCGGGATAATTCTTTTGTCAGTATGTTTTATCTGTTCTCTTACTCAGGTACGCTGTGCCGTTATCCCTAATTACCCCCACTGCATTTCACACTTGGCCCAGAATTCTTAGTGCTTGATAACAGATGCGGGTCGATTTAAAATTTACTTATAGTCGCATTATCTTTTTGACCTGAATCGCAGACTGACTGTCCCATAGGCTCTTGGCGCGAAAGCTGTTAACTCTGTGATAACAACGACCTGAAGTGATAACCTTCCAGCAGTCTCGAGGACACGCAGTTTGCTACATATGTGCTGTATTGCAGTCGCAGCATTTCTTATTCAACCTTGGGCGCTCTGCTGTGCTCTGATTCATTTAATGGGATCGAGAGGGAGGTTAATCACTATGTCCGTTACAGACTGTTAAAGTGTTACCTGATCACTATATGAAACATTAGGATTTGTATTTCTTTGAAATGTGAATTCAACACAAAATGCCACACGAGTTAACTCTCTTTTTTTTCCCTCTCCATTTTCTCCATTTTAAAGCGTTACAATATTGCCTCCACAGTTCGGAGTCACTTTGATTAATTTACTTTAGGAGGTCGACATTTGCATTTGCAGATTTTCATTAAGATCAACAGTAAAAGCTTCAGACAAGGTTCCACTCGTCGAAGTTATTATTCGACGAACATGCGGCTAATTAAAAGGAAAAGGCTTTTAACTATTTGAATGTTTCTTATTTTGTTTGTTTTGTTTAGAACAACTTTTTAAAAAGAAATCTTTAATCCATAAAATTAAATACGTACACTCGCAACCGGTTTTTTTATTTTTATTTTTTTTCTCCCCTACCATCGTGCATTCTGCTCAGAGTTGAATTTTGATCCAATTGCCATAGATGTCTGCAGCATCCAGTTAAGCTTCAGCAATTACTCAGAGGTACCTCTTTTGCAACTAAAATGGCATCTAAATGGTGTGAAAATGCAGGGAGGCAATGCATAAAAAATGTCAGCTGGAGAAAGTCTGCAGCCATTTCATTTGTTATGTCTGTCAACTACAACTGCATAGTGTTACTTTGAAAACTTGGCTCCTTTTAGACCAAAATTCTCAGCATATCATTTTGCTTGAGAAATAGAAGAATATAGCGGAAGAGGCAGACGACAATAGATGCTGTAGGCCTATAGGCTGAATTGGGAAAAGGAGAGTAGCTTGTTGTAGTGTGAGGCTCCGTCAAGCCTAGTTTTAATCCTTTTCTCCACTGTGTTGTGTGATGTTATATTGTTATCTTAATGATAATCTGTGCCTGTATTTTTGCCCTAGGCATTTCTGTCAGGCTGGGTTGGTTTAGGAGCTGTGCCTTATCAACAGCTTTGTCATTAAATCAGCTTTTTCTACAGACAAATTTCACTGCCGTTATTCTTATCAAAAGATCAGCACACTGTGATTTTCTGTTCAATCAGAGCTTTGCAAATTCAATGATGTGTGAGTCAGAAAGATGAAATACAAAAGGAAAATTCCATTGGAAATAAAACTGTTTATTTAATTTTGTTTTCATGGCGGTTAATAGTAGACAAATAAAACTGGTATGTTTTGCATTTGTTATATCGTCAATGGCTTTAAGCTGTTTTTGTTTTGTGCTCTTGGATCTACGTTGTGTGTTTTGAAAAGCTATATTTAAAAGCATGGAGGAATAGAGATGATTGTAACATGATGATAAAAAATGATTTTATCCACAGGTTGTAGATAGTTTACTCAATGCAGGAATCTGGAACCTGTGATATTCATGGCTTTTTGTCAGTGTGAAATGGGATGTAAATCTGTCCAAGATCTCATAACACGGTAGCACACACCATCATAGTTTCATGGATGTGAGAGACCATGTTGGACGTACCAAGAGAGATGTCCTGTAAATGCTGTATGTACAGAGGCAAGCTTTCAAGTCCCAGTCAAACTGACCTCTGGAGGCTGAAACTAGTAGTCAGTTCTTCTGAGAAAGCACTGTTCTGTCTGAGTGAATGTTCTGATTGTCTCAGCATTGTGCTTGAGTGGAGTGCAGTGCCAAATGAACTCCTCTGATTCAATTCTCTCCTCTGTGACACCGGTTCAGCCAGTCAGTGAGGAGGGAGGACTGAGACTCCTTCCCCTAAACACACTCTCTTACAGTTAGGGAAACTGCCATGTGGCAGAGGTCCAAAAGGTCTCTTGCATGCTGTCTGCGAGGCAGGTTCGGCACCCTCTCTCTCCTCCCACAATGCACTGAGAGTCTCTGGAGGCTGATAGCCTGGTTCCTGGGGGTCCAGAGGATCTTTGGAAAGAAGGATGCTGATGGAGGGTACAGTCCTGTGCACTGTCATTTCAGAGTTCCCCCCTTCAGTACTCTCCCACACCTCTTTCACCACCTTGTACCGCAGCTTGGTCAGCTGGTGCAGACAGCCCACTTTTCGTTTCATGATCTCAGCACAGGTGATGGTCTTTGTGACTGCACGGCCTGACCCAGTGAACACCACCTGCCTGAGCCCACCGTCGCTCAAACCTCCCCCACTTACACCCTTCTCTCCTTGCATTCGTGCCATGGCAAATCCCATTAAGTTGCGGATCTTGCTTCCCTCCTTCACGCGCATCTCCAGCACTCCAGAAGCCAGTCCTGGGAAGGGACAAGGACTGTCCTCCTCAGTTCGGCACACTTTTTTGAACCCTTCCTGTCCTAGTTTGAGTGCAGAGAGCGGGACTGGTAGTGGTGCTGTTTTCAGTGCGGCGGAAACATTGTTGACCACTGCTGGCTGGCCAGCATTGCTGTAAGTTTGATAAACAGGGCACATCCCTGGGGTTACCCCGTTCTCCATTTGGATGGGTCTGCTTGCCTCCAGTCCTGGGTGGGGCCTGACAGCATCTCTGGTCAGGTACTGGTTCTGGCCACTGACCACTCCACACCCTGTGAACATTTCTGCAGTCCTCAGTGCTCGACTGTAATATTAGTCCCGACACACACTTTCCCCACATGAAATACAGCTTAACATCATTTTCTTATGCATGTGGCACTCCTCTTTCCCTCCAGTCAACAGCTGTAAAGTTTCAAGACTTCATATAAGAAATATTACCCGCTCCCCGAGAGCACTATCAACGAAGTCTTTAATGCTCCCTCTCAGAAAGAGCTGGAGAAATAAGATAAACGCCTGGCTGGTGAATTAAGAGCACTGTTGGGACCTTGCAAGATGTTCTTTAAAGAGCATCTCAATTTCATACCACAAATGCCTATTTGGAAAGGGTTCTGGAGACAGATAAAAAAACAACAAAAAAAGAAAAAAACACCAAAGCTAAATTATCCACTTTCCCACATTTGTATGTATTTCATACGGTGCTTTTATCTTCAGTAGCTGCAAAAGATATGGAGTGCTTTGTTGATTCTTCTTTAACAAAACTTTTCTAAAGAGAAACTGAAAGCTCAAATTCAGACTCCACCTTTTCCTTAGCGATCCAGTCCAGCGTTGTTGATTTTGATCTGCTGATCATGTCGTCTTCAACTCAAAATTGACCTCTTGGGTTGTCCAGCTGTTAAGTTCCACCTCCTGTTCAGGACCTCTGGATGTTTTACTCCAGCTTGTGTAGGTCTGCGTCTCCTCTCCCCGTGCCCATGTTGGCATCCAGTGTAGTTGAGGCCAGGGTTGCATAGAGGTCTGCAGCTGGGGTGTCGTCCCCAGAGGTCTGTCTTGTCTTCAGTGATGCTCTGGGAAGTCTGTTCTGTTCCCCACAAAGAGACATAAGGGACAGGAGCTGCCTCACAAATGCTCATAGGAGGAGTGTCTGTGTGGTTGAGGGGGAGCATGAGGGAAAGGGGAGACAGCCCTCTTAAAGGCGCAGGTCTTTTCATCTTTTAGACGAACACCCTCCCCTCCATAACTGAAGCCTGCCATCAGAGGAAAAAGAGAAGGGTAGGGCTACTGTGTCCCTTTAAAACCTAGAATGCAGATCCCCGGCAACTTTGTCAATCTCTTTAGAGGACGTTCCGGTGTTCAATGTACATGACTGATTAAACCTGAGTTCTGAAATAGAGACTCAGTCAACCTTTAAAAATGCATTTTCAGCTTCGAAACAATGAATTAAATTAGCGCTGTTATAATTGAAAACATCCTTCAAAGAGCTACTGAAAGTCAGCAGCATTAAATTGCACTGTACTTAGCCTTTATCCTATTAGATGTTTGTGACCATTACAATTTACATAATGCAGCATTAATAGCTTCATTGTTGAGGCAATCAAGTGGCACGGTAAGAATGCCTGTCTCTTAACGCATGGATTGTTATATTGTTACAAGCCTGGAGAGCCCTTGTGATCAAGGACACAAGGACCACAAAATGCATAGAGGCATGACTTCCATGTTCAAGGTGCTGTATTAATGGTTACTGTCTTCATTAGTCTGCCGTATCCGTGCAGGTGAGGAGATGGGGCTGACAGGTGGGGTAATAAGCATCTTAATGGGCTTTCTATCACCAGTGGAGGGCGCTGGCTCGCTCCCTTCTGCACTGAGTCAGGCCCAGACAGCTGTGGCATCGTCCTGTTCAGCCCAGTCTCCCGGTCGACAGGTGGATTTGTTTTTGTGTGTGACTGACAGATGGAAGAATAGGTAAAGACAGCCCACTGAGGCTGAACCTATGAGGCCAAGAGAGAGAGGCAGACAAGTCCTAACTACTCTCCGCTCGGTGTATCTCGTGGTGCACAGTAGTACACAGACGGTTATAAACTCACTGTGACTGGCCCGGTCCGCGCTGTGAGGCTAATTCACAGTGGCATGTGTATTATATTGGATCCCTATGGTAATCAAGGAAAAAAAAATAAGGAAATCCCCCTTCATCCCTAAATTCAACTGCCAAAGTGAGAATGTCTTTTATTAGGAGAGCGTGAATATGAGTCCTCACTGAAGAATCAATAGATTTTAGGTTGGATCCATGGAATGATTACCTTTTTTTTGGGAGGGGGGTTTAATTTGTATGTATAAGGTAGGAGAGCTATTTATCTCTGGAGCCATTCCAGACACTGCAGGAGACATAGTAACGAATGTCTTTCTTTTTCTTGCCTTTTTTTTGCAAGCTAAAAAGAAGATGGGAGAGAGGGAAGACAGGGGGAGGAGGGAGGGTCTGTAGCGCTCACCACCAAAGTGATCATTCTGTTGTTTGGGAGAAATTACCCTCATCAGTCATACAGAGATGCACAGCTGCCTAAGGGGATCTGGTAATGTTACTGCATAATAAACTGTGTTTGTGTGTGTGCACATGTGTGTGTGTGTGTGTGCGTGTTCAGCGAGAGCGAGAGGAGGCAAGAAAGAATTGCAAGGGGGCATGGGGTAAGAGAAGTCTGACTTAACCACAGAGAGGTTAAAATTGATGATAAAAGCCACTCTGTAATCATCCCTCCTTACTACATGATGTTGGCACATCATTTATTGCTTCTCAGTTTAGCTTTAGAAACCTGTTTGCTGGCGGGTATGTGATAGATTAAGCAATTCAGCTTCTGAGTAAAAATGCAGGGATCTGAGCAAAGTGTCTTTAGACACATATTCACAACATTTTTTTGTCTCCATCAGACAAAACTATTCTCCAAATGGCTAAATAAAAGCATCAGGGCTTTGTAGCTTTGCAGAAGTGCGGTGTATTGACCTTTTTGAGCGGAGCCTTTTTCCTTTAAGTGGCTTCATTTAATGACGGGTAGAGGCGGTGCTCACGCTTGGTCACTCACTCCTTCACACCTCCTCCACAGAACTGGCCTCTGCCCCTGTAGCTCTCTAAGCACTTACTCCTCACTTTATCTGACCTTGGCTGGCATCTGTGACAGTCTAGGAATTCTCTCCTGCACGCTCACTCCCCTGTCTCCGCTCAACAAACACCCTTGGCTTTTTCTCCTGCCCACCAGAATTTAAGTAAAGAAAAAGTATTTATTTTCAAAGACTGTGACAAATAGCAGTGGTTGTGTCATGCTCTTGACCCTCTTTGCTATGTACTTCAGGTGTCTGCGATGGCTGCTGTTATGAATTGTGGGTCTGTCCCTTTGTTGTTTGTTGCAGCACTGCAGAGTCTAGTTGTAGAGCAGCTTGTTGTGCTGTTGTCAGGGCTGCACATAAGCGTGGTGCCTCACTGTGACAGCCAGTCTCTCACTTTACGTTAACCGCAAGTGTTTTCACGGTCATCAACCAATGGTGGCCTGGAGGCTGTCATTTCACTCCGTGTGGAGCTCGCCCGCGGCTTGGTTCTGCCCCACAAACTCACAGCCGGCCGTGGTGGGGGGACAGAGCAACACACACACATGCATATGCACACACGTACAGACGGCCGCACACACAAAAAAAAACTATATGCTCAGCATAAGGCAGGCTGTTGGAGCAATTACAGAAACATGGCAGAACACGATGAAGCAGGCCCCACTATCAGAAGGGAAATAGAGTGAGCAGAGGAAAAATGATGACGCCATTAATAACAGGGAGGCTCAGAGGCTCGCAGGGAGGTGGGGGTGGATGACCCTCTCTGTGATTTCCCTGTGACAGCACTTTGAGGTGCAAATGGTTGTGTTTGTATTAGATATTTGGACGTTTAAATGGTCATGTTTTTGTGTCAAAGGGAAAAAAAATAAATAAATATAAAACCACAATAGTGTAATATACCAAATGATGCGTGAAGCGATGTCTCCCTGTCACTCATGCATCTGTTATTTTGCTAAATGACAGGTCAGACTTTCTTATTCTCCATTTCCGTCTTTGCATCCCTGTCTCAAGCTGTTCATACACATCCCTTCTCCTCCAGCCGCTGCTTTCCCCTTGGCACTGCAATGCAGATGTGTCTCACACAGTGGCAGGAACTTCATTGAAGACGCTTGCGAAAGAGAAACATGAAAGACAGGAGGGAAGGGCATGAAAGAGATGTAGCCAAAGGTAGAAGGGCACAGAAGGTGGTGGGGATATGGGATAGAACTAGAAATGATTTAGCTAAAATACAAAAAAAAAAACAAAAAACATTTGGATACTCCAAGCATTGGAATATGAAAACAGTGGAAAGCATATGGTAGATAAAACACAGACATGGCAAGTCTTGATTTATGAGGCCTGTCAACGAAAGTGGTGTCTTTAGCTTCATCAACTAAACAGCGTCACAAAGCTATCACAGCACCTAACAAATGTTTTGATGTTTTTGAAGTAGCACCATCATATAAAAGGGTGCATTTTTGCTTCAGCATTTAATTGAATTGGGCGGAGTTGAACCCTGTTGCTCTATGCTTTTAGGTGTATTATTGCGCACAGTTTGATTAACGGCACTGTCTCTAATTTAAATTGGCAGCAGCAGTTGAAAATAGCATTTGTGTTTGGAGCTTCTGTTTTGTCTGGCCTCAGGGTAAAAGTTAATGGACTTCATAGAAAAATTTTGATCAATTATATCAAGAATTAATTGGCCGTGTTGAAACAAATGCAGAAAGCAAATGAATGCCTTAGAGGAAGTAATCACTAATTCTGTAGATTTCAATTTGGGATCTAAATGCCACTTACTGTATATTAGTAGACAAACCATTAGACATGTCACAACAAAAAGAATAGCATCTAAATGGTAAACAGCAACACCCAAGACAGCAGCGTTGATGAGAACAAATCTGTAGTTCTTTTAGTCATGAAATATGAACTTCAAGCACTATTTTGAATATTAGACTGAAAATCCTGTTAGTGTTTGTTAAGATTTTTATCATACCTTGTTGTTATATTATTTACAGAAGGCCCATTTTCATCTTGAAACTGTTTCTTCTTTCTGAAGGAGTGAGGTATTCAAATTGTCCTTGCACACATTCAAGTAATTCAATGTAAACAGTGCATGCATGCGCTCTAGTGTCAGTGTAATTTTATCACTGTTTTAGAAGCCTGTCTGCTTACTCTGATAAAGGTGTACCAGAGTTGCCTTTGTTACTGTTAATGTCAGTGAAGATTTTCTAACACTGCTGGATTTAACACCAGAGCGACCAAGCCGAAATTTAAAGCCACTGAGGGGCTGCATGGACAGGATAATAACCGACACGTTCATCGTACCACCACATGCTGGGTGTCCAGTCAAATCAAGACTGT